ACTACACTGGAGACTGTCCACAAGGTGGCAGCCTAAGCTGGAAAATATACATAAGGTCCACACAGTAGTGACAGTTATTTGAAACAGGGAAGAAGAGATCATTCACAGAGTCACACAAATAAATGGCTTTCGATGTTGCTGATTTACTGCATGCTTATTGTCCTCTGGTTGCTTAAAACCATCAGGTGTCTGCTGACTGGATCCCAATCTCAGACACAAAGCTGAACCAGTTAGTTGACTAATCAATTAGTCAAAAAAGAAAATTAACTCGCAACTATTTTGATAAATTCAGTCCAATTTTAATTCTTTTTTTATGCAAAAGTAACAAAGGCTCAGCTGTCTTAGTTTTTATGACCATAAACTGATTATCACTGGATTTTGGACTTTGATTGGTCAAAACAAGACATTAGCAAATGTCACCAAGGGCTCTATGAACATGTAATGGGCTTTTCTTCCCCAGTTCCTTGTTATCTCTATATGTTTAAACAGTCCTATTTATAAGGTGATGTGTCTGATGTTGATGTGTGCATGTGGTTTTTTTACAGGTCACATCAGCTTGACCTGTGACACCAGTATGCGTCAAACATCCACATACTGTTTTATTTCCTAACAAAATGGTGCGTGAATCACTGTTGCTAACATGAAACAGAGCTTACCAAGCAATTATTAAAACTACACAGCTGTGTTTCACACAGTCGGACAAACACACACACACACATCTATGTTTCCAAAATGACTATATCTGCACTGGCTGGCTGACTAACACTGACGTCATCCGATGCGAGTGCTGACTTATCAGTCTGTGGGATAAAGACAGCCCAGCTGTGTTGTATCGGCATGATGTCCAAAAAAGAGAGAATTCTCTTTATTTCCTCTTGAACTCTGTATGATCTCTGTTCTGTTTGTGTTCTGATCATCTCTTGACTCATCATGCCTCCTCCAGCTTCTCCATTCCTCTCTCCTCTCCTTCTTTAAAAATGACCACTGTGTTTATCTCATTAGTTCATTATCTTCTTTCTTCTGTCACTGAAACTACATAATCAGCTAAATTCATTGCATTACAGCATAAGAGTAGATGGGGTCAACTGTGTGCAACAATGATTCATACTTTATTGCTAATGTGTACCTAATAAAGTGGCCGGTCAGTGTATATACAAATTTAATTTTCTTGGTCTACTCTTTAGTGGTAAGTAGAATTAGCTTAAAAAAATCCATTTGCCCCTTATTCAGAGCATTCACCCTAACTGGACTGTAGCTTGCTTTGCATTCAAAGTAATCATGACACAGCCCTGAGCTACAGTATGATTCACTTTTGACCCAAAGTCAAGTCACATTCAAATTGTAAACAGAAGGTGACATAAAGAAAGTTTAACTCTTTACAGTATAAAGTATTTTTTAAAGACTGGATTTGACCGCGTGTTTTGGAATCAACCAGTGGTTCACAGTAATTATCCTATGTTCCCGTTCACCATCAGCACGTACTACCTGACTACCTTGGTAGCATGTCCTGCAGGTCTGCCATGAAATAGGCAACCACGGCCCACAATGCCGAGCAAAGGTCCATGTCACAAGGTTGCTGAACAGCCATGCCATCACCTTCATTGTGATGGAACCATTGGTATGGACTGTCTGCCACATGGAGTCTGGCACCTGGATGACAGAATGATCAAATACACAACCACGAAATTGTTACTCTAAATGTTGCATGTTGAAGAGCCACTAATCCTGGATTCCAAGTCATTGCATTTTACATCTAATAAGACACCATAGCTGTACATCTGGTTTAATCCTGCAGGACATTTCTATGGAGGAGAAGGCAGAGTTCTGACTAATACAAGAAGTGGTTACACTTCTTAAAATATCACTCATGACTGTGGCATATGGAAAACAACCCAAGCTTCTAAATACTCGGTGGAGAGTAAAGGCAGAAAACATGTTGCTATTGTTTGTTTCCATATAAGAATTTTTACTTCTCATTGTGGTTGCCCTTTTATTTCAACACGTTCATTAACTTGTTCTTCAGACTATTCAGTGGTGCTTAGCTAGAAAGTAATTATTTTAATAATAATGTGTTGGCAGAAAAAAAGTGGTATGTGGGACTTAAAGTTTATAAGCAAAACCTAACATGAAACCTCTTCGTACTTTTGAGTTAGTAAATTACACACACAATACAGTCACTTAATCATTCTATCAACTGATTCTATAGTAGGGCAAACCCATCATCAAGTGTACACAGGGTCTGGGAGGGTGTTGATGAGCAAGAGGCTGCTGAACTGAATGAACGTTGGAGGTGCTACTCAAAGCCAGTGTGCCCACTGCATTCACTCCAAGCTGTTCCATGTCACTACTGTAAAGGTCTCCATTTTGCCTGGTGTAAGACATGTGGCCTCCCAGACTGACCCACCGGAGAGAAGATCAGTCAGCACACAGAAATCTCTGCACATTCCACATCGAAGTGCAGGTCTGCAGTCCTACAAATCATATGACATTTAGTAGTTTTTGCTTTTACTTACCTTTACATTGTGTGCTCATTGAAATTGCTACTGTTGGCACAACTGTCAGAATGACTAATTTCTTTGTCTTTGCATTGAAGCTATCCAAGCAAGAGTGCCCAGCAAAGACTGTGGTGTTTGCACCCTCACCTTCCCTTTGGACAGTCCCATGTTGTTTCTACAACCAGCAATAGTAAAGAGACGATCCAAGAGGCCTCAACTCAGCCTTACAGACGAGAAGGAAGACCCTTCAGAATGCAGCTCGTTTATAGTGGCTCATGAAGCAAAGGATTCAACATAACCTTGCGACATGACTCTTTTACTGACACTGGTTAGCAGCAGTTTTTTTATTTTTCTCTTTTTTTTGCCTTTACAAATAACCTCTTCAGGGGGAGGAGATGGTGTTTTATGTTGTGAAAGAAGCTCAGCATTATTATCTGTCAAAATGAACTGGTACTGAGTTAAGAGTTCATAATGGGCTATCGTAATAGTTTCCCGTTTCCCTTTTCCCCCCTCTATTACACATGGTCTAGTATCCCTGAATCACCATGGCAAAAAAACAACTGCCTTCAAAGTGTCTTGAATAAGGTACAAAAGCTCCAACTGCTTCACTGAAATTGCTTAACAGAAGGCTTGTAACTGAGTTAGCTATGTGTTTCTGTGTACAATGCGATTTCACTTCTACTAAAACTAACCAGTAGTGGATAAGAGTTTCTGACTTAATCTCTACCAAAACCAACAATAAACAAACATATGGTCTTCACATCAAAAGTCCTTTGGTACAGCTTTCTACCTTTGCTGCCAAACAGTAGGTGGGAATTCATAATCAGCTACCGAACCAGATGAAGACACCTGTGACAGAAAAGAACATCTGGGTTGATGTATAACGCAAACAACAGAGGAAATGATTCATACATAACAATACTAAGTTCTGTTTTAAGACTACAAGTGTCTGTTCTGCGGCATCGTGTTGGTTGGTTTACAGTATTCCAAGTCAAAAATATGAGAAAGTAAAAGAAATTATTAATTCTGCATGGATTGTAATGTGCTGCTGGGTGCAGCTGGTGGTAATATGTGCCAGAATGGTACCTATAGAGCAGGCCAGTGTGACAACTGAAATTTCACAGAAGAATGGTAAAACCCATCAGCATTTACAAAGCTAGATACTGTTGTATCATTCAACTAGCTACATATGGATGGGTTTCCTTTCTTTTTTCACAAGAATGCTATAAACACATACAGGTTCAGTAAATATGTTGGAAAAGTTACACTGATTATGTGCTGTTATTTCTACTTTTTTATTTATTTGATCATTATTTGTAGTGATATAGACCTGTCTATTGTGTGCCCACGGTCCAAGGGGGGAATCTCATGGCCCTTTTTTCAAAAGGCATCTTAAGGGTGCATCTATTCCTTGTAAATAAATTAATTCACTTAAAAGTTGCCCATCCATTTTCTGAGCATCACACAATCTAGATTCAAAAAGATCATATACAAGAAAAAAAAAATGTGGCTGACAAGAATATCGGGATACAAATGGAAGTGGGATGAATGCATCTGTAAAAAACCTGGAAAGTTACAGGTCAGGAGCTGGGAGGAAGACACTATCATCTGTTTGAGACAAGGGCATACAAAGGCTTCAATGAATCATCTTATAAAACAGGTGAACACCAAACTGTATGCTACAATCTGCCAAAATCCACTGAGTGTGTGCTACTGAGGCATCCCCTAAGAAGTCAAAACATATTATGTTACAAAGCCTTGGGGAGGCATAATAGAAAATTAGTAGATTACTTCAGACCTCATATGTTTATATGCCCTAAAATGTCAGACTTGTACTAGTGTAGTGCAGTTTTTCACTAATGGTGTTTTCACCAATGATAAAATTAGTAAGGGAGGCTGAAATATCTCACTACAGTGATTCAAAAATAGGTCCAATAAAATATTTTTTATAAATATATTTTAAGTAATGCAATAAAATAAAAAAGATTGCAAGAATTTAAGCTGAATCACATTTGGTTTTGTAAAACATTTATTTATGATCACGTCATGTGATTTGGCACATCATGACGTGAAGTAAGATCAGAGTTCCCTCTCTTTTCGACTAGCTCAATTATATGATCAGCAGTTATGGAGATTTAGTGAAACAACCATCTTCAAGTTGTTAGGTATTTTTAGTCAGATAGATATTGGTTAGATACTTGATGTATTAGAAATCTTTAGAGTAGACAGGGTGTCTGGCTCAGGCTGTTAAATGCTTAGTCATTCTCATGAGTTGCTGCAGGTTGCTTATGGTCAAGGATAACTAGATAGAAAAGTTGATGACTGTTAGAAGACAGGATGTTTATTATTATTATTATGACATGTATAACTGTAGCCATAGCCATAATATTTTCTTATGTTTAATGTCATGACCTGTCACTAGAGGTCGTGTTAGAATGTTTTTTAGCTACACACCACTTAATCAACAGACACACACACATTGATTTTCCTCATGCTTTGACTACTGCTCTGGCCAGCTGCAAAGCTGGCACCGGGAGACGTCACGGTTTGGCATCTCCTGTGTAGAATGGGGTTAGCCCGAAGTGATATAATGTATAGGCCTGTTGTGGTTCAGGGTCTTTCATCTTTCAGCTGCCTGCGTGCAGGTTGGAGGTGCAAGATACCTGAGCGTGTAATGTTAATTTTTACCTGTGTTCATTGAATAAATCAGCACTGTATTGAAGCTACTTGGACTGCCTCGTCTCTCAGAGTTAGCATGGTTAAAAGTACTACCAGCCAGCAACACCAGACAGAACATGAAGACATGGACAACCAAACCACAAGCAGCTCCAGATTGGCAGAGCAACCGCCCGGGCCATCAGTGGGTAACATTAATGACCTTGATGAAAAACACCATTTCCAAGCAGCCTTTGTTATCCAAATTACCCACTAAAATTATTAGAAAAACAAAACAATCATTTTCCACGTATTATTACAAGTATCCCTGGCTGGAATATTTGACTTGCAAGGATGCTGTTCTCTGTTTTGGGTGCAACCATTTCTAGAGTTTCAAAAGGTCATGAGTGACTGGAAAAGACTGGGTAGTAAACTAGACAAACATGCAAACAAGTGCATCTTTATGAGCAGAAATGGAGCTTGTTAAAAGCCTCTGCACCCGTTTCACTTGAGCTGGGAGAAACAAGGTTTTTGGGGTTCTTCACACTGACGACGACATAACAGCAAACTTATCACCTGAGAAGACAGTGGACACATATGCAAGATGCACAAAAAGGTGACTAGGTAGGACCAGTGTCACAGCAAGTGTCGCCTGCATAGTAAACACTGGTTATTATACAGGCGACAGCCATAATAAATGCCAAGTCTGCTTCCTGAAAATACTGATTTCAAATGTTCGCAGGTAAACCAAATTTGTGACAACAGAAATCTGAAAGCCAATCACAGCTCACTATGCAAATACAGAGTTCGACAGTGTCTACTGAAACCCAATACCTAAAACCTCTGACCAGGTATTAGCCAGAGCTAACTTTTGGGTGATTAGAGTGTGTGTCAGCTAAAGTTGACTGCTGAAAGTAAATATGCCAGAGTGTGCGGTTTTTGGATGTAAACCGGACCCTGGAGCTTCTTTCCACTATTTACCAAAGGTGCCCCTCCTGCGGCAGAAATGGCTAGAATTTATTTACCAAAGTCGTGCTCACACTCTCACAGGTGTTGACGTAATCCGAATCTGTAGCGCACATTTCAGTGAGGAGTCTTTCTTCAACTATATGCAAAAGGCACAAGGCTTTGCAAAAAAACTAATTTTGAAGCCAAATGCCGTGCCAACTTTTTATCCTGGAACACCTACAGCCAGTGGGGGTCAGCATGTAAGTATTTATTTTATTTACCCAAGAACAATAATGTGCATGCACAATATCTTCTACGTGCGTTTGACAGCATTAGCCCATTGCTAAAATCAGCAGTTTTTTTTAAAAGGCGTCTGGTGTAAGTACAACTAATAGCCTGTAGTTTGGCACACTGCTAAAGCTAACGATTAGCTTTGGCTAAATACTACGATCAATCAACAATGACAGATGGCGTATTTGGCCGCAGACGAAGCCAAATACGTCATCTGATAAAGGAAAAACACAGAGTCTCTTAAATGTAGCGTTCTACTACTAGCAACACCGGCACTATAGGTTGTGGTGGCCCCGTATCGCATAGTGCCTCGGGAGTTTAGAAAGTATAAATGCTGCGCTGACCAGCGAAGTATACGCAGCGCCAAAGAACGACGAAACCGTCAAGTCGTATACTTGAGACGAGCAGGCAGAGACACCCTATCTACCTCTAGACAAAGCCCCCAAGACGATTTAAAACTAGTTCAACTCTCTAAAACATAGCGCTCTGCTGCTAGCAGCATTAGCATTGTAACTGGCGCGTATTATACAGCGCCCCCAGGAGTTTCGGAGGAATAAATAACTAGGCCGACCCTGAGTACACCTCATGCTCAAATTGCAAGGGTTCAAAAGTATTTCTTCTGAGGTTTTATGCACATTTTACTGATAATGTTCTGTATTTGTACTTATATTTTCACTTTCACTTGTAGTGGAGCATTTTTACACCGTTTTATTGATGCTTTTATTTGGAGGATCTCTGCTTTTTCCGCAACAGGTTATGAAATCCTCATCTTAACATCCCTAATTATAGTGTTACACTAGCTAATGATTACAGTAACCATTTACATTTGTACCACTAAGGAACAATTTGATAATATTGTATCACTGTACAGTTTGATTCATTAATGACTAGTAAAAATAAAAGTTTGAAATTAGGGAGTTGCTAATAGATGTATTGTCAAACTGGCACCCAGTGTATTACATGTTGGTCTGTATTATTTTTAAACTGTCCCACAAGCAGTCTAAATCCTGGTGTACCACACTCTGGTCCATACATCCATCATCTAGCTGAGATATTGCTCTTGCAACAAAGCCAGCCTGGAACAGACTTATGATCAGCAACTAAATATGCATCACTGATCCTAAATCTCCAACTATGTATGCACTGTGTTTTCTTTCTTGATTGGTTGTTTTAAATTAAATTCGTGGTAATTGGTGCATTAATTGTAGCTGTTTCCTGCATGCAGGGAAGTGAAGGCAACAAATTTCAAGTGCTTCCTGTGTTAAGACATGTGGCCTGTCAGACTGACCCTGCAGAGAAAAAATCAGCTGTTGCGGAGAAGAAACACTTCAGAAGTACAGGTTTGTAGTATATGAAGTCAGCTGTGATTGTTTCATGTACCTTAATGGGAACATTCTGTTGCTACTCAGTTTACTCAATTATACTTTTTATGCTCATTCATAGTGCTAAATCAGACACCACTGTCAGAATTACTAATTTTTTTTTGTATGTGCCCTGAAGCTACCCAGACAGGAGTGCTCAGTAGAGATCGTAGTGTTTGCACCCTCACCTTCCCCTTGGATAGTCCCCTACTGTTCCTACAACCAACAATATTAAAGAGACCATCCAAGAGGCCTCGACTCAGCCTTAAAGACGAGGAGGAAGACCCTTCTGAATGCAGCCTATAAACCAGAGGATTTAAACATGACTCTGTAAACTCTGACTGTTTTGACAAGTAAAACAGTGTTGTTTTTTTAACTCGTCATGCAGAGAAGTTGGTGAATGATATATCAGTGAACGTTGGAACTATTAAATATTTGATAATGGAAGACTGTTACTGTTTGCACATAGCACAGTCTTTTCTGCTCACTGCCTTAAAGTACAAACATCTGTGGTCCCTGATTATGTGCTGAAATGTAGAACGTTTTGTGTGTTTTTTTTTAGTTCTCCCATGAAAGGTTATACAACACTGGATGTCTGTCTACATTGCAATTTCACTTCAACAAAAACCGGCCAGTGGCAGAGGATGTCTGAACCTCTAAATTTCTGCTAAAGCCAAAGATTTTAAATGCTATCAGAGTACATATACAGAATTGTCGAGGGTTCGATCTGTTTCCACTGTCAGCAATTCAAAAATCATCAAAGTGTAACCATATCACTATGGCTTTATAGTCTCTCAGCACTGGTGCTAATTTTGGGATTTAAAATCATGTTCTTAGCTCATCAGTGAGGATGCCATTTTTGCTTAGCCCACACCATTAAAAGAAAACAGGACCACAGAAATTAGGATGAGTTACTATTTAATGTTTTTTATTTATGGCAGATATTTAACATAGCTTTAGTCCATTATTTAAACATAGTATAATAAACATTTTCACTGTGCTCTATTATCTTATCATGAACACTATTTGCTTGGTGCAGACAGACATATGGATTAAACTGACCTGGTACTCCTTCCTGCATCCGCATAGAGATGTCTATCCCTTCTCCATGTGTCTCCAGTTTTGTCACATTAATGGGAGCCAATAGTCTGACCACTTCTTCCATCACCTGTTGATAAAGACACATCAGAGTGCTTCTCAGTCATCAAACTATCTGGTATATGCCAGTGCTTTTAAAACATGATTTAATAATATTTTAAATTCCAAGATATATTATGTGATTCTTACAGTAAAGGGATATTGTAATTCAGATGCCAGACAAACTGATGGTAAAAACCCTGTGACTACATTTACTGCCCTGGTTTCTGTGGCAGAGACTACTGTCTTGTGTTTTAAATGCACAACTGTGTAGTTTAACATGGGAACTATTTGAATTTCCAGTCTACAATGCAATGGTCTGAAGGTGTGAACATCCCATTCACTGCACTGGATACTAATTTACACAGCTTATGGAATCTTTGTCTTGCACAATTTAGACTTTTAAGCTTGTCTAACCCTTAATAATTGTGCAACAGTGCTGTATTTTCAATCCCACCTTTCATGCTGAATGTCCCCAAATCAGAGTCCATGACCAGGCCAACGTTTGACACATTCACCTGGGTGTGGAAAGAAAGCAGAGAGGGGAAGAGATAGAACAGATAGAAGGGTAAGACAGAGTGTGAAGACATAAAAACAACCCAAGGTATTTTTATGGTAAAACAAATAATTTATACATACACACATACATATATAAATAACTCCAGTTTGCGGAAACTGTGGGCTAATGCATAATCTTCAATGAGGTGCCAGAAGGTAAAGTTAAGCACAGCTACTTTCAGACCACAACATACACATTTAACCAACCAGTAGGACCCACTTGTACAGATGTCCTACCTGGGTGAGGTCATTTAAATTCTAATTATACATCAAATATAAGAACTTTTACATTGGTGAAAATGGTACAAAAATCAACCAACCCTGTATCTCTGTTTTCAAGAATGTAGTTGATTATGGGTCTGGTAGGCAGCCAAGGCTCCAAAGAGGAAAACTTTAAGACTGCACAAAGAAACATCTGGCCACTCACCAAGGCCTCTCTAGTTCTGAGTATATTTCTACACTCTTACACTCTATACTTTCACAATGTGAGTTGACCCATCCTGCCAACTAAAAGCAAAAGTAAAGCAAACTTGCTTTACTTCTGATACTGTTTTTTATTGAGTCTACAGTGAGAGCAAATAATGCCCTGTGCAGGTTGTAATACTCTGATTCCACCGTGCTCCTCAGCCATCCACAGAACTACTTGCAGAGTTCTTCTCAGAGGCAGACCTGGAAACAGATAAAGATTCGAATAAATAGCAATGCCGATCAAATATACACAGAATGAGACGAATAAGTCCTCCAATTAAAGTTCCTTCCTTTAGAGCTTGGATTATAATGGTTTAGCTCCACTTCCGGGTTGGAGAGCTTTTATTTTGTTAGACTTCCTGCCCTGTGTCAAATCACCTTCCCCAGCTTTACCTCAGTACACAATCAGCGTTTATTGTTTTCACCTGCTGCTCATTATGTCCCGGTCTAAAGCCCCATATATAGCTCCTCCTTACCCTCAGTCTTTGGCTGGTCCATTAACTATCGGTGTTGTTAGTGATAGTAATACTGTGCGAGTCTCTTTCGGGCCTGTGTTCCTGTGTCTGTTGCTCACCTGTGTTCCTGTGTCTGTTGCTCACCTGTGTTCCTGTGTCTGTTGCTCACTTGTGTTCCTGTGTCTGTTGCTCACCTGTGTTCCTCGTTCCTACCTGCTGTGTGTTCCTGTTTGGCCAGCAACACTGTTATCCACCTGTTTCCTTCACTTTACCTGTGTGTTCCTGAGCCTCCAGCTATACTGGCCGTGTCTCCTGTTGTGTGTCCCCGAACTGCCAGAGTCACAGTTGAGTCACAGTTGACTCACTTGTCTCCATCTACTCTCCCCTACGCTGTCAGTTCCTCCTGCCCGCTTCCATTCATCTGGTCTCCGGGTGCCACCACTCCCATCAACATTATATGAAATGCTTAGCCTTCTATAATCAATATTAAAATCTGCATTAGCAAATATATCTACATGTTTATTTTAGTATCACATGCTTTATAATTTCCTTTTGTTTTAACCAGTTCACTTGTCTTTAAGAATATAGGAGACATGTGTAGGCTGTAAGGATCAAACAGGAACAAGACCAGGTTTTATTGCAACGGTGCCGGTGTTCTGTCAGATTTTGCTACCTTGTCGAGATATACTACCTTGTTGCAAAATCTATGGACTGACTAACCCCGCCCCAATCCATCCCCCTAACCCTAAACACTTTGTGAACGGTGGGTAGCACGTCTTGATGGGTAGCAAAATCTGACAGAACACCGGCACTACTCACCTGTGCACCCCCTCGCCACAGCCTGGCTCTGGTCCCGCCTCGCTCCAGCCCCACTTTGCCCGCCTCTGCCTATCACCTTTGGGAGGTCCTGCCCGCCTGACTCACCTGAGCGCTCCCGGCCCCACTGCTACACTTTTGTTCTATGTACTCTTTTAATAAAGACTAAGTTTTCTGCCTAGTCCTGGTCTGCATTTTTGGGTCTTAAACCAGTATGCATCATAAAATGAATAGAAGAAACTGGATTGTATTCTCATAAAACTTTTCATCATTGGACCTTGTACCGGGCCGGCTAAGCTTGTCATCATGCTTTTCTCAGTATTTACAGCCTGAGAAATTGTTTCATAATTTGTTCATAAATTTGAAACTGGATTGGAAACGCTGCTGTGATTTTCACCAGCCGTTATTATTTTGTTTCTTTCATATACTTTTGCACACTGTTCTAGCAACCTTTAGATTTGTACTTTTTTTAAACCTGGTCACTTGTTCAAAGTGAGTCAATATCTGACTGACAATATCCTGTCTGCATTTTATTATAAAGCACACACACACACACACACACACACACACACACACAAAAGCCTCAAATTTGACTTTGTAATCAAAGTGCTTTTTATCAGCAAGAACAGAAACTCAGCCATGTAAAAACAGGAACACAAAGACAAAAACCAGTTCAGAGTGATACCCCCATTTCCAGGAATTTTTAGGGGTGGGACTCCTGTCATTGGGATGTCACAGGTTACATAACACTGTCTACCCTGATCATGCCTTGTCTGGACAATGACCCAGAGGACACACATTCATTTTAAAGCAAAGCAGCGACTACCCCAACCACAGAACAGGAACACAGGCCTATTTTTCATAGAAGAAAGATGTTCAAAACTAGTTTTAAAAAGAGTTCAGTAATATAAACATTTGTTTAAATGTGTAGTCTGTGCACTTAAATGCTTTTAGCATTATGTGGAAATACATAATCTGGGAATATCAGACAGTAATTTAGTACAGTGACAGAAACAAAAATATGCTATTGTATGCAAGATCCACAAGTCACTGGATTTGTTTTGCAATAACAGAACTATCTACATCTAAATCAGTCTCCTCGAGCATGTACACGTACATTTTCCATGTAAGAGTTTATCCCATGTTACAGCATGCTTTAAAGATTGTAGCATCCAGCCTTTGAGTTTGGAAATTGCTCGTAAACACACTAATCTTGCAATAATTCAGGCCACCAGCAGGGTTGAGATATTATGATTTTAATTATTTAAACATAAGGAAAATGTTTTCCCTGTTGTATGGAAAATTCTTTTTAATTGATTAACCTCAGCTAACTGACTAATACTGTGGTCTGTGGGTTGCTGGTTCTTACAAAGTGCTGACAGCAGAGACAACTTTAGTCATTAAATGCTGTAGATATTGTTAACAACATTCTTTTTAACAAATAAACACACTGTGCTCATCACAATCACTGTCTAGCAAAATGACTTGTTTTAGGCAGAAACAAAGGCAACACATTTGTACAAATTAGACAAACTTACACTTGGGGGATATGAGATGCAGACGTTGAGTGGGTGGAACAAAAATTCCAGCAACTCATCTCTCTCAAATGACTGACTGGTCCTGAAGGGCTAAACTGTGGAAATGACTCACTTAACCTTAAATATATGTCTTTCTATGAACATGCACACACACATATACACATACACTCCAACCACAATTTTTGCTACTGCAAACCATGATGTCAACCATACCATGTGTTTTATTTCCCTTTTCTTATAATGTGGGGCAGAGTGTTGGCAGATCAGAATAGTAACAGCTTACATCAGCGATGTTCCTCAAAGATCTCCTGACTGATTTTTCAGTTCATCCACACATTAAACCAGAGAGACTGTCATTTGGAAAGAACTTCAGTTCACTTGAATTCTACATGCTGGAAACTGCTCAATTAAACTGACACTGTTGTAATGTCAAACGGGCTTGTCTCTCTCTTAGCAACCAAATTCAGGAATCTTATGTTTGGTCACCATGGACTACACTGTTAGAATATGAGGTTTTGCAACTGTTGAATCAACAGGCCTTGCAGTTGCAGGCTCAAGAGGCTGCGAGGGAGTAAAGGCTCACACAACTACACTACAGTTCTTAGTCACACTCCTGGAAAATTCCCAGAGGAAACATCATCTACTTTCATCAGCCAACAAAGCTTATCTTCAGATAAACTGGAAATGGTGAACAACAATCTTTGCCCCAAACAGCAATATGCACACTTTCTTAATAACAAAAACACCCATGTTTCAGGCAGCCTCCACCTATATACAGTACACACCATGATTCATACTGTGGAACGTTCACACAAGCTTTATGTGTCTGATGCATCGAAGTGGAAAATGTCATTTTAGTCAAGTCTAACCAAAAGCTTCTCCACCATTTTCCTGCTATGCTGCAGTTCTGTTTTACATAGGTTTTACCACTCTTCTTCACAAATCAGTGGACCTATAATTTACAGCCGTTACAGCTGTTCAACTATTTAGTTCATCCCAAATGGGGCTGTACCTGTAAATGTTCATCCTGCTTCTCATCCATTTTTATTCAGACAGACACAACAGCTTTGAGCAGACAAAACAAGAGCTCCAGGGAGTTTCTTCTATGTGCCTTGCTGCTGCGCATGCCACTTCTGGTATGCAGGACCATCTGGACCGTTTTCTCAGTCCTGTCCAGACACTGACATAACCAATAGAGGGATATTTTACAGTGTCTCTGCTACAAACAGAGTGAAGCAGCACAACAGCACTTCATCTGGTATTCAGGTTCTACCTGCTCGACATGTCCTGGTCTCTACCCTGATATGGGCACAGGACCTGTGTGTGACACTGCACCACATAAATGCAATCTGGGTCACGTTTGTTCAGTGCAGTGACAGGCTTCTGACTTCAAGCAGGGCACAGTTTGTTATCTGATTTGTTGTATGATTGGAGAGTCAAGTACTAAAAAGTGCTAACTATGAATTTACACATACAGTAGGTGTCTTTCTGTGGGTGTTCACCTGTGACAGACTAACAACCTGCCTGAAGTACACCATAACGTCTGTGCAATGTGTTCTGGAATCAGGTTAAGTTTTTCCTTGCTGCAGGGCAATTCTGCTGCTAAAGATTAAATACATTGCAAAGGTTTCTGACACAACTGACAAATATGCTACAAAGGCTGAATATTAGAAACAATATAAACAAATACAAAGAATGACTGCAGTACTTGCAGTACTGAAAAACAAAACACCAAAATATAGATTCTAGTCCTGATTATATTTACTTACACTGCATGTGTTTATAGACCACAACTCAGTCCATACTATAAAAGGACGGGTTAAATTCAGCAGGCCTGTAACTTTAGAAGAGTTGTTTTGACTGGCAAACTGCATTGGTGTGGGGAAACTGTAGTAATGTCAGGTTTGTAAATATATACATATGTATATATATACACACACACACACACACCCCCCAAAACTGACCTCTGGTCAATATTACCTAAATATTAAATGACTAACAATCATGTCAATTTAATGGGTTTTTATTAGTTTTTAGCCAAAGTGCAAGAATGTTTCTCTTGTCTTGATACCAGACCTTCTGCTTTAAAGTAGTCCAGAGGTGTTCTATTGGATTCAGGTCAGAGGACGTACTTGGCCAGGACATGGTTTTTACTTTTTTCTTCTTTAAAAACTCGTATGTGATGTGTGTGGGATCATTGACATGTTAGAAAATTCCTCTCTCTAAGCTTACTGAGACTGGGAACCATCATCAGTTTTGGGGTATAGAACGTACCCTCATAGAGCCATCTATAAATTTGCACTCGTGCAGCATCATTTTTCATGGACAACCACTGTGCCTTCTGTTATTGGTATTATAGCTCTTCTTGTACCTCCCATGCACAACCACAACTGTGTTTCAGCTTATGTTTATTTGCATGGTGACACTCTTGTACCGTTCCCCCATCTTTATGATATGTCACAATCTGTTTTCATACTGATTCAGCCTATTTCTTACCACGTGGAGCCGTGATGCATTAGACACAACCTAGAACAAAACTGAAAACAGTGATCACAGGTTCTTTTTTTTTTTGTTCATGCAGTTAACCTTAATTGAAAATCACAGATGCAACCACTTTTGTTGCAGTGATTACAGGTGTACTGATTTATTTGCACTGAGGTCATACTTTGGAACCCATATTGTCATCTAACCTGTTTGTATTATACATAATATCACATACCAAAATAGGAAGCCAGTGCAGGAACTCTTCTTGGGAATTCACAACAAAACCAAGTAAACAGTTTGTTTATAGAGTGTTGTGCTTCTACAGAAACCCAGTTTATTCAGAACGACTGAGAGTGGATGAGAGGGGAAGCCACCCTCCTGGACAGCCTCAACAACTTCTCTGCGAGATTTGACAGGATGATCACAGACACCCCCTCAAAATCCCCCTGCAACCTGAGGGACACTGCTTTTCAGTTGACGCACACAGGTCCTGAAGGCCCTGAGACAGGTAAACCCCCATAAGGTGGCGGGACCAGATGGTGTCCCCCCTAGAGTGTTGAGAGCCTGTGGGGATCAACTAGCTAGTGTGTATCCAGACATCTTCAACCCGTCCTTAACCCAAGCAGTAGTCCCTCACAAAAATCCATTATCATTCCAGTCCCTAAGACGTCAGACACATCCACTCTGAATGACTTCAGGCTAGTGGTGCTCACATCAGTTGCCATGAAGTGCTTAAAGAAACTGGTCCTCACACACGTTAACCACATGCTCCCGGACACTGTAGACCCTCTCCAGTTTGCCTACTGCCCCAACAGATCAGTGGATGATGTGACAGCTCTGGCTTTATTCCATATCCTGAAACACCTGGGCAACAGCAGTATGAATGCTAGGATGCTCGTCCTGGATTACAGTTCTGCATTCAACACCATTCGCCCAGGCAGGCTGACTAGGAAGATGACAGACCTTGGTGTCCTAAGGTGACGTGTAGCTGGATTCTAGACTTCCTGACTGAAAAACCACAGGTGGTGAGAGTGGGAGGGCGGGTGTCTAGTGAGCTCACAATCAGCACAGTCTCACCACAGGGCTGCTGTTTCAGCCCCAAACTCTTCACCCTGTACACCCACGACTGTGTCTCCAACCATGACATCATCATTATATATGCTGATGACACCACCATTCTGGGCCTCATCAAGGGGGGAGACGAGTCGGGTTACAGAAGCTCGATGAACGACATTCTTGTTTATGGAGAGGAGAATGACCTCATCCTCAACATAAACAAGACAAAAGAAATAATAGTAAACTTCAGGAAGAACCCCTCCCCTCTGCTGCCTCTGACCATCAAAGGGACTAAGGTGGAGAGGGCTGACAGCCACAAGTTCCTGGGCCTGCAGGTGACATCTGACCTGAGCTGGTCACTGAACATAGCTGCCACCGTGAAGAAAGACCAGCAGCGGCTATACTTCATCAGGTGGCTCAGAAAAGCTGGGTTGAATCATCGCCCTCTCACCCAGACTTAATGTATATAGGACTGGTAGAGAGCATCCTCACTACTGGCATCACAGTCTGGTATGGTAACACTACACAGGCAGAGAGGAAGGCTCTTCAAAGGGTCATAAAGACTGCAGAGAGGATCACTGGGACTGAACTGCCTGCTATGGACACACTATACACACAGTGCTGTCGTAAAAGGGCAGAGAACATACTCAGGGATCCACGCCGCCCAGCTCACTCTCTGCTCAGATACAAAAACTGCACCTACAGCCTCAGGCACAACAGGGCGGACAGTATCATCACACGCAGTACAAGACTTTACAACAGCTTTTTCCCTGCTGAAGTAAGATTGATGGGAAATATGAAAATGTGAGAAATGTGAGAATATATGTGTGATAACCCCTTACTAGACATGGGCAATAATAATACAGAAATGTTCCACAAAGTATGTTTGTAAGAGCATCTCATCAACAGTGTTCTCTTGGGGGACCTGAATAATAGCAGGACATTCTTTATCATACTATTACTCTATTTTTGTGTATTGCAGTTTTAATACTTTGTCACCCTTATGTAACTTGTTTATTTTAAGACTAAGTGTTCTTTCTGGCTTTTGACTCCTTACCTGACACCAAAGGAGAGCTACACAAGAATTCCTATATGCCTAGACTGTCTGTTTATGTATAAATGGCAAAAAAAAAATCTTGACTTGACTTGACTGTATCCCCTGCTAAGCCGAGCTCCTCTGGGAAGATTAGATCACATAACAGCAAAATAAAGGCAGACTAAACAGCTGTAAGAACATCTAAAGTCAGCAAAATGAGGCTGAACCATAATTTCCTTATCCCATCATTTTGTTTCCAAAGATTTTATTCTTTCAGGACATTGGTTTCCTATACTCTTTACTTGGCCAAACTAAGATTTAAAGACTGAATAACACAGACTGTAACATGGTGATATATAGAGATGACCAAGTCAGGCACGCAGGAATATGTGATGAATGAGTGAGTGCTTACCTGCTCAGGGTGCTGCCAGCCCGTTATCTCAGCCACTGTGTTGAAAGAGTCTTGGCTGACATCATGAGTCTGACTACGATCTTCTGCCCCCTCTGCGCCATACGCCGCATCAGCTCAGCGTCCTCCACAGTGATACAGGCTGTGGGGATGCGCTTCACTCCATCCTGGTAGTCCCGCCAACCTGTGGGGGGACTACAGATAGAGAGTCAGATGCTTTCCTATTAACCAAAACAGCTGGGGATGAAGCGCCAGTCCCACAGGCACTTAAACTTTTCACAGGGCATTTCATTGGCAAATATTTAGATACCTATTAATAGAGAAAGGAGTGATAGACCGAATGGCCACAGCTCCCAGTGAGTGAGGAGAAAAAGGAAAGCTGAAATCAGATGACTGGCCTAATTTTATACAGCATGGTCTTTACCTTCAGGTGGTGTCCTGACACCACTACCCAGTCCTAGTATAGCCAGACTTTTAATTCTGGGCACAATCATTTCTACACCCTCCTTCCCTTTCACCCAGTGTGAGATTTTGACTGGTTCTGGAGAAGAAACTGCACAAGGTGACACAAAAATAAAACATACTTAGCTGAAAGAGATGCCATCATTTGTGAAAGTTAAGTATGTGATGTACCCTCATGGCTCCCTTATAACAAATCTCATCTAGATGTACATCCAAGCTATCGTGTGTCGTAGCATTGTACATGTATTTGATAGCCCTCTCCAGGTTGTGTGAGCCACTGACACAATTCCCTACGGTGTCTATAAAGTCGTCCAGCCATCTGTAAGAGTGGTTCTGGGCAGCTCCAAACACAGCCAGGTCAGAGATCTATTTTGCCGCATCAGTGTAGCCTGCAAGTCTGCTGCTATGTCTGAAACTGGGTTCACACAGAAATGCACAAAAAGAAAGACAGTTTTTATTTTCAATTCTTTCTTGAGAAGATTTTTTAAACTTTTACTTTTAATTTGGTGTGTATTTGTAACCACTGTATTTTTACTTTTAATGCTGAGGAAATAGAGATTTGTGACAGAGTTTTGCTCAATCCTGATTGTAGCCCCCTATATACCACTAGCGCTGGAGGAGCTGTACTGCCTGATCAGCAAGCAGATGAATGCAAACTCAGAAGCGGCTGTGATTGTGGCTGGAGACTTTAACTGTGTGGAACTTAAAGCAGAGTTCCTAAATTCTACAGATTCATCAGTTTTCCAACCAGGGACAATAACATCCTGGATCAAGTTTATTGCAACATCCCGGGAGCATACAAGTCCATAGCAGCTCCACACCTGGGCATATCAGATCACATCTCCGTGGAGCTGATCCCAGCATATAAACCTCTGATCTGCAGGACAAAACCAATCACCAAAACAGTTAAGGTGTGGACGGAGGAGGCTTCTTCAACATTACAGGACTGTTTTGAGCACACTGACTGCAGGGTGTTTGAAGAGGGCTCAGACCTGGAGGCTTATACATCAGCTGTTCTGGACAATGTCCAGTTCTGTACTGATGCTGTCCTACCTATGAAGTCCATCAGGGTTTTTCCAAACCAGAAACCATGGTTGGGCAGTACAGTGTCACCTCTGCTCAAAGCTCGGGACGCTGCCTTCAGATCAGGTGACAGGCTGGCCTATAGCAGGGCCTGGAAAGAAGGGCATCCGGCTGGCCAAACACAGGTACAAACAATGCATTGAGGGGCACTTTATGAATAACAACACACAGAGTATGTGGGGAGGCATCAAAACAATAACAGACTACAGAGGCAACAACCAGCAGGTCAGCCATGATCCCGCCCTCCCTGACACTGTGAATAGTTTCTTTGCACGCTTCGATACGCCTGGCAGCAGAGGAACTGTACAACTCCCTCAGCTTGAGGAACAGCACCGGCCGCTCGTCCTGCAGCTACACCAGGTGAGCTCTACCCTGAGGAGGATCAACACCAACAAAGCCACAGGACCAGACAGGGTGTCAGGCCGGGTTTTGAAGCTATGTGCTGACCAACTGGCAGGAATTTTCCTGGACATTTTTAACCTGTCCCTGCATCTTGCTTCAGTCCCTGTGTGCCTCAAGTCCTCCATCATTGTGCCTGTGTCCAAGAAATCAGCTGTCACCTGCCTCAATAAATACCGCCCTGTTGCTCTGACACCAGTAATCATGAAGTGCTTTGAGAGGATCGTCCTAAAGCACATCAAGGACGTCATC